TGCAGGAACGATGGATTCTTGTTACTCAGAGTGTTGCCAGGACAAAGAGACGCAGCTTTGCTGTGGAGCGACCACTTTGCAAACACCCTCCAGGAACAGCAGTTCAGTAGGTGTGTAGCGTGCCCTACTCTTTTCCGCGACACTAGGAACAGTATCCTAGTTGTTCATGTTGATGACATACAAGCAGCAGGAAAGAGCAAACATCTGGAACCAGTGCTGAACAAGATAGGTGAAACCTATGAACTCAAGGTTGAAGGCCCTTTCTCACAGATCAAGAACGTATGGTAGGAGAGTCACACGTTGACGAGGTATCTTGCAAACTTGCACAAATTTCTTTTGGTGGGTGATGAGTTGGCGCCGGAGCTCAGTTCTTTGAAGCAGGTTAACATTGCAGATATTTTGCTGTCATTGCATAGGGGAGATGTTCACATTTCCAACGCTCTTCTTGCGCTTCGCTGGGCGGCTGGGGCTCGGCGCCTGCGTCTCCCTGACCTTTACGGTGGGCTGCTTCTGGGCGTTGGGTCTCGGGTCCTTTCGGACCGCAAGGAGGCTCTACCCCTCCCGATTTTCGTCCTGGCATTCTGGGGGGGGTTCCTTTTAAGCGAAGACGGGGAGCCAGGTTTTCGATTATTCATCGGGGGGCTCCTGATTGCAGCGAACGCCAGTCTGCGCTTTAGTGGCTGCCAACACGTCTTGTGGTCTTCGCTGCAGGCCGGCAGAGACTGTCTCAGGGCCATTTCCTATCGTACAAAGTCCTCTCGGCGAGGAATGCCATTCGGGCTGGTTTCTTGCGGCTTCTACGGGGATGCCTCTGCATACTCTCACTCCTGGGTTTGTAAATACTTATTTCTGCTGGGGTGCGAGTGGGATCACATTACGGAGCGCTTTGGTGAGACGGTCCCAGATGCTCTCTTTTTTCTGTCAGACGAGTTGGAGTGGAGACCGATGTCATACGCCCAGGCGTTGTCGGCTTTCCGAGGTGCATTGGTGGCGGCGGGGCTTTCACCATCCGAGGCTGGCAATTATACCCTGCACTCATTGAAGACTATGACTACGCTATTGACCGCTATTGGCTGCGTTGGCTCAACTTCAGGTTTCCTTCAAGAAACGGGGACTCCAAGGACACCATCGCTCATCGACCAATGGTTGTGTTCTGCTGTACAGTCGGGACGATGTTCACGGAGCACTGTCTCTTCAGCAGATGTTTTGGGATAAGGTTCGTGCTGGGTGGTTGCCGTTGACACCTCAGGCCCGCGGCGGTCTGCATCCTGCCAGACAACTGCCCATCGAACCTCAGGTATTGTCTTTCCACACTTCCCCGGCTCATCTACGCTTTCAAGTCGAGGATCTCTCCGCCCTCCCGGTGATCGCCGAGGTCGCGCCCCCGGCCCCGCCAGTTTTGGCTCCGGAAGCAGTGGAGCCGGCGGGTGATTCGGATGTGGATTCATCTTCTTCGTCTACATCCTCTTCGTCGCCATCGACGCAGAAGTCACTTCCTTGGACTAAGGTCTCGGGGAAGGATGCAGATGAGCTTCTTTGGGTGCAAACCTCCTCGGGGCTTTTTCACTGCGCTTCTCCACATAGTGGTCTTGAGGGTATTGTTGTAGCGAGACCGGACGGCACCAGAATCAGGGTAAAGCCCCGCTGTGGTACCATGGCGCGTTCTATGACCATCATAGCAGACCTGCCGTCCGATCCGCGATTCTGCAGGCACAAGGCCTGCCAGGCGATCATGTGGTCGACCTAGCTTGGCATCGCCAATTTTGGTGCCTGCGGCAAATCAGTGGCGATCGATCGGAGATCGGGACCTGTTTCAGTCTTTTGAGGATGCGATCCCTCGGTTCCCACGAGCTTGTGGGTTTCGCGAGGGGGACGGCGATCGGGTACAAGATCCGGGACAGACCCGGGGCGGCTCGCAGCAAAAGCCGAGATTTAGCTGCGGGGGGCGATTTCCTGCAGCGGGAGTCCGCATGTGGAGCACGGCTCAGGGGTCGTACCTTGCAAGTCCTGTTTTACTGCATGTGGGGCACGGCTGTGGGGTCGTACCTTGCAAGTCCTGGTTGACCGCATGTGGGGTTCTGCTTGGGAGTCGTACTCTGCAAGTCCTTTTGGCAGTTAATGCGCAGGCTGCTCCAGTACCGGTGTGGCTTTGGACTGCAGCATCGCAAATCTAGCATCCTTTTGGCGACAGGGCTGGTCAGGGTCGGAGCATGGCGACGGAAGAAGCCTCTACCCTGGACGCGGAGTTGGTCTCTTTGGCACACGAGTGTCGTGTGCCCCAGGAGTATCATGAGATATTCCAAGGCTTTGACGTTCCGTTGTTTGGGTGCCTCGTGGCTGAGGCATCCCAACTGGACGCGGCGCTTAGTCAGCTGCTAGAGAACTCAGAGGAACCAGAATCGGCGGCTGGCAAACTTCGTCTGCTGTCTTCTTTGCGATTGCTTTTCGAGTCATGCAAGAAGCAATCTTCAGCAGCTCCAGCCCACAAACGTCAGGATGCTCCGGAGGATGCCAGTTCTTCCTCGGCAGGTTGGACCGAACAGTTTCCACCCAAACTTTCAGGGGAAAAGGTGATCTCTCTTCAGAAGGCCTTTCATTCACGCTATCCGGGCGAGGTGTTGGATCCGGAAAATTTTCCTTCCTCGAGATTACTCGCCTACGCAGCCAAGATGATTCAGAAGGGGGAACTCAAGCGGGTGCCGTGGAAGATCAGAATGTGTCAGTCTCAGCAAGACTCGATGGCCATGCGCCGCCCCACCAAAACCCCAAAGCTGGAGGACTTACAGGCAATTATGGTCACAGATCAGTGATCTGGTGAATCTGCATAACTGGTCTTTGGACCACGCCTTGACGGAGTTCACGGAGGTGCGCGGGGACGACATGGCATCACTTCTGCAGCCCCGGATGGCTCCTCCGAAACGCCTAGATCCCCCAGCTCCTCATCTTCGTGCCGGCCGGGGTGGCAAGGGCAAACACAAAGGAGATGGCAACAGCAAGCATTCTTCCAGTGGTCAGGGCCACCAAGCTTCTACAGGTGGAGCCAAATGGGTGACGAAGTTCGAGGACAAGGGCAAAACTCGTTTCCTGTGTCGGGATTTTTCGTCACAGAAGGGCTGCTCTTTTCCGGATTGCAAGTTCGAGCATTTGTGTTCGGTTCCTCGTCCGGACGGTCGCCCATGCCTTGGCAAACATCCGGCTTTCCAGCACAAGTCAGCGGCTCACTGACTCTCGGATGCTTCCGACGTTCGTACGGGTCGCCCTGACACTACGACTTTATGCCTTTATGCAGTACGGATGCAGCAGAGCAGTATGATTGGGACACATGTCTTCGCGTCCTCCAGCAACACTGCCCCTTGTCTGCTCCACTAATTCGGTCTCATGTTCTCGAGGCTGGTCGTTCTCAAGCAAGCTATTTCAATGCCGGGGCCCGTGCAGGGTCTCAGAGTGGGATATGCAATTTCACCTTTCAGCACGAACTGCTGGTCAAGTATGTGAACCTTTTTCTTCGTTCAATCTTTATGGAGGCTACATGGACGAGCTTCTGCATTTCGCACAACGAGTTCGCTCATCTTCACTCGGATTTCAATTTTCCTGGCTCTTTGAATTACACATGCAGCTTGGGCCCATTTGACAAGGGCAGCCTCTGGGTGCAGTTTCCAGCAGATGTTTTTCCGGAGATGGAGCGCGTTCCGCCTCCGGATTCTACAGCGGATTCATCACTTTTGGGCTGCCTAGTCAGCACCAGGCGCTCGGGTTTTTCGTTTGATGGCAGCCTGCCACACTGTTCCGAGCAGTGGTCTGGCGATCGATGGGTTATCACGGCTTACACCTCAGCTACCTGGCAATCCTTGTCGGAGCAGGATTTGGAGCATCTTGCGGAACTTCATTTCCCCATGCCTGCGAAGGACAGCACGCCGCAACATCGGGTGGTGTCACCGGCCCCTTTGTTGCCGAGCCCTCCAGAAATTTTGGATCTGCAGCAGGTCCAGGGTAATCTCTTTGTGGAGATTTTTTCGGGGTCGTCGCGGCCTTTGTCATCGGCTTTCCTGCAAGCGGGCGTCTCTGTCCTCTCCTTGGACATTCGTCGCAGCACTGAACATGACTTGACGAAGGACTCCGTATTTGAGCTTCTCCTTCGGTTGGCTTTTTCAGGGGCAATCTCTCTAGTGCACGCGAGTCCTCCTTGCAGGGATTATCCTCGCTGCAAGTTGCGCAAAGGCCCGGGACCCAAGCCTTTGCGAACACCGGCACACATGGAGGGGCTACCTCACCTATCCTCTGAGGACAAGGCTCGCTTGGCCTTGAGCACACAACTCATGTCACGAGCTGTGGAACTCGCTCATGCCACTTTCAGGGCTGGCGGTCATTACACTTTTGAGAACCCAGCCAACTCTATGATTTGGGACGAGCCTCCGGTGCGACTACTACTTCAAAAGAGCAACGCGGACGTGATCATTGTCTCTGCCTGCGCCTACGGTTGGGACATCTACAAGCGTTGGGCTTTTGCATCTACGTTTCGATATATGCAGCAACTGGCCGCAAAATGTCGCCATCCTGAAGGATCTCACGCTCCGGTCGCAGGCGTTCAGGATTCGTCAGGGGGTTACATTTCCCAACAGACATCGGAATTTCCAGAGCCTGTAGCATCCAAGTATGTGTCTTCGGCACTTCCGCTCTTTAGCAGGTCGGCCGCACCAGTGGATGTAGCTCCTAACCAGCTCTTGCAATTATTGCCAACAAAGGGTCAGTTTGATCCTCCCTTTGCCCATCAAGATGGGGCTGGCATCTTTTCAGTTCCAGACTGGTCCTTTCCTCCTTCGGGTGCAGTCGACAGGTTATGTCAGGTCCGGCAGGCTCTGACAGCCAAACTTTTCGAGATGAAAGCTCCTCTTCGGCTTCGAGAGCATGTCGCTTCAAAGTCAGAGCAACCCCTTTTCTCGGATCAGGAGGTTTCAGAGTTTCGAGCAGTATTCCAGGAGTTCCTGGAGGCCTCATCAGGGCGAAAGGTGGGCTGGTCGGTGAAACCTCACCAACCCTACGCTCTCCAGGCTCTGCGCCAACCCGACACATCATTGTTTCCTTCGTTATTGGAGGGAGCCCCGTCAGGTTTCTTTCAGGACATCAATCCGAGTCGAGTTTTTATTCCTCTGGTCGAGGCTCCTGCTCCTCCGGCTGATCAGCTTGTCATTCACGATTCCAACTGGAAAGGCGCCCGTGATAACCCCGAGGTCCTGGAATCGCTTATCCAAGACGAGTTGGCGAACAACTACATCGAGGAGGTCCCACTCGAGGAAGCCCGTCGACGCTGGGAACATGTGGAGGTGGGGAAATTAAATGTGGTGCTGGTTCCTGACAAGAATCCCCGTCTCACGGTGGACGAGACGATTTCGGGTGTCAACCCGGCCTGCAGCATCCCCGAGCGCTACAATCTTCCCGGCCTTTCTGATCTCCAGGGCTGGGTATCCTCTGCGTGGGCCGGCTGCTTCGCTAGGCGTTTTTTCCCTAAAGGCAGCACACAAATCGATTCGTCTGCGGGAGCGGGACAGAGGCTTGGCAGGCATCACCTTCCAAGGCCGCACTTTCTTCTACAGGGTGATGCCGTTCGGCATGTCTTGCAGCGCATATTGGTGGCAGCGGTTATCAGGCTTCCTGGTCAGGACATGGCACGGCGGTCTTCTATGGCTGAGTCACTTCCTGAGCAGTGCCTTGGACATATCGGCATGCCTAATCCTGGCCTTCGCAGCCGTCTTCGGAGTGCGCCTTTCGTGGCCCAAGTTACAACTGGGGTCCTCAGTGGTTTGGATTGGATGGAGCCTGAATTACAGGGCAGGGACGGTTCAGGTCACGGCAACAAAGAAAGAGAAACTGTCACGAGTTCTTCGCCCACTCCTGGGGGAGGGCAGAGTGGAGCTCCGGGATCTTCAGAAAGCTCTGGGCCTCTGGGCTTACTGCAGTGGCTCACGCAGCTACATGTGGAGCTGCGTCCGTGGTTGTCAGTTCTCTATGATGACGCTGCTCGTCCTCCAGCCACATCTTATTCCGTCAACCCTGCTTACTGGAACCAGCTGGAGGCTTGCTTGAACGATACACTGATCTTCATTACCGTTCCTCCGGGCACGGCCATCCCCTTGGGATCGAAGTTGATCAGTGCGCGTCACATCGACATCAGCTGATCTGCGCAAGGTCCCACTGACCTCCAAACGGATTTGGCTCCGAATTACAGATCCACAGTCACGCTTCCGTCGGCTCTCCAAACTGAGTCGAAAGCTGCTGCTTTTCTGGCATGAATGGAGCCAGGCCTACCACTTTCATGAATGCTTTCATCTGCCGCCGAGACATCTGGATTGCGTGATGGCGGCGGACGCCTTTGCTTCGGGTGAGGAGCTGGGTATTGGCGGCTTCATCGAGATTTCTGGCTCACAACCTGTTTTTTGGTTCAGCGAACGATACCGCTTATCCGACTTCAAGTATTTGGATCTGCCTCTACATCAGGACGCGCAGAGGGACATATCCTGCTGGGAGACTCTTGCTCAGGCTCAGGTGGGCCTAATGCTTCTGTTTTCTCACTTGTGCCCTGGTGGACGAATTAGACTCACGCTCCCATCCTTCTCGGACAATACAGGAGCAGAAGCAGTTTGCGCAAAACTCCTGACGACGAAGTCCCCACTTTGCTTCTTCGCGCAGCTGGTAGCTATGGTCAGCACTCGTCTGGGCATCTCTCTGGACGTTCAACACATATCTGGCGAGCGGAACGAGGACGCTGACTTGCTGTCCCGATGGGATGGAATAGCTCCTCTGGCTCCTCTTGGAGAGCATTGGGATCTCGACATGCGATATCGCTTTTCAGTTCAAGATTTCTTCGATCAGCGGCATGATGTCCGGCTATTTCCTTCGGATGCCAGACTCCTTTGGAAGCTGCCGCGCTGAGCGGCTGCTCTGGTGTGATTCGTCAGCCTACTTCTCATGTTTTCCAAAACGCGGTGCTCGTCTCACTTAAATGTGGGGCGTGTCATCGGCGTTCCGTTCACCTTCGTTTTGGCAGTGGCAGTTTCGTTTGGGGGCTTTGATTTAGCTGTCCTCGGTTATGGTGATTGCGACTTTGAGGCTTTTACCGATGACATCCCACCACTGCTAAAACGAAGGCTGTCCGAGTGTAGTGCGGGGTGTCCGTGATTGGATTGAAGTTTTCATATTTTCATATGCGATATGTTTGAGTCTTCCGTTATGCTTTACATATACCTCTTTTGCTTTAGGAGATTTCGTTTTCCTTTCGCGGCATCCCTTTTTAGGGTGCTCTTACGTTTGTTCGCTCTGCCCAAACTGTTGTGTTTTCAGAACAACAATGAACCTGTAGGTAGTGAAGAACTTCAGGAACACAGAAGCCAGGAACAAGCCTGAGCCAGTGTCAGGATGATTAAGTCCAAAGGAAATTTCGCGTTTGC